TTATAATTTCTCCCCTCTATTTTTTTTTTTCCAGTTCTTTCTTTCTAGAATGTTTATGTGCTTGTCCGAGTTCCGAGAAGCAGAAGCCAGGACAGGATTAAACACTTTATGCTTTTGTTAAGGAAGATGCCCTTGGGAAACGGGAGGGGAGGGGAGAGAAGGCTGGGAGGCACATCCGAGCTCTGGTGCAGGGCCAGGGAGGGGAGGATGGAGGGGCCAGGGCCTAGACTGCTGTCCTGCAGCCGAAGCCCCCATCAGAGCAGCCCCACCTCTTCCAGGGACGACCTGCCTTGGTGCCCAGCCTCACTCAGTCATTGGGTGGAGCAGGCTGTGGGGCGAAGCCTGGGACAGAGGCCCTGATGGATTCCAGCAGGCGCAGGCCCGTGCCTCAGCCGGCTCCCAGGCTGGAGCTGGAGGGGCTGGGTCGGGCCTCAGGCTGCAGCACCCTCGCTGGGGATGCTGTCTCCCGTGCTGATGCTCTGCTTTTCTTACCTTTTCTCTCCTATCCTTAACCCTTAAAAAGGATCCTGGAGGTTTTTTGAACTTTGTTTTCCAATTACTTTATCTGCTCTAATATTTTCAATTTCCAAGTGCTTTTTCTTGTTCTTAGAACCTTTTCTTCTAGCTTCCTGTTCTTATTTAACATCTGCAATATCGACTTTTCTCTCCGGAGATAAGTGTGGCTTTTCCCATGTACTCTGCTCCCTACTTTGTCTCTGTGACTCCAGATTCCCTTTATGTTTTGTCCCGATCGGCCCCTTTGTGTGGGATCCTTCCTTGCTGTCTGAGGGCCCGAGGCTGCCTGTTGGCATGGGGCTCTGAGGAGATGCTGGCAAGCTCCTTGGAAGCTGTGAGGCTGGTCTGCAAGAGGGTGATGCCCAGGCGGCCTCTCCCCTCAGCCTTTGGGTTTCCTCCAGAGAACCCCACCCTTCTCCTGCCCGGCTGCTCTCAGGCACCTGGGTGCTGTGGAGGAGGGGGTCTGGGTCTCCCATTCGGGGTGCAGATTTGCACACAACCCCTTTCTGTGTCCAGCACAGAGCTTCACCTCTGCCCTCAGCTTCGTCCGCAGCCACACTCCCTTCTCCAGAGTAAACCTCAAACCCCAGGCTGGAGAATGTGTTTCCGACAAAGACTTTCAGCCAGTTTCCCTTGTTCCGGCCCCACACATCAGCCCTGCCTTCAGAGGTACCTGGGCTCCCCACCTGGGCTCCCCGCCCGGCTCTGAGAGCTTGCAGCCGGCTTCTCGCTGGCTCCTGGGCAGGCGCTTGGGCCCAGCGCTCGGCTCTGCCCCGTGAGAACCCCTTGGCCGCTCCTGTCTCCCTTCCTGGGCCACCACATCCGATGCCTTCACTTGCGCATTATAAGTGAGATCATGCAACTGGAAGGAAGAACGCATCAGCCCTGCCCTCCCGTTGCTTAGCAACGGCCTCTTTCTCTTTCCCGGCAGGTACCCAGGGGCTGTTGGAAGGTGGGGGCAAAGGGCAGGACTGAGGTAAGATAACTATCTGGTCTGCATAATAATTGGATGCTTGGCCCTGTTGTGCGGCGGGTCCTTGCCTGGCAAATGAATGAGGCACTTAGGAAAACACTAATTTTCCTCATCTGAGGTTTTTTCTGTACATCTCGGAGAATTAATGTTTACCTACGAGAGGTGTGTTTTCAGTCCCCTGGAGGATAACAGGGAGAATGAAAGGTGTACCCTCAATTCAAATGCAGAAGTCGGCCTTCTTGGGTCCCTTCTCTGGAAATTGCCTTGTGCGACCCCAGTCTCTCCTGCTGAAGCTCTCTGACAGCCCCCACCCGGCCGGAACTGCCCGGTGCCAGTCCAGGGCCTGGAGGAAGCAGACACCAAGATGGGGTTAGCAGTGCATAGACGGGTGAGGGGAAGGAGGGCAGGAGCGAGGAGAGGAAGGGGGGCGGTTGGCACATCCTGGCCTTCCCTGGTGTTCAAGGGGGTTCCACAGAGCCACGCAGAGCTCTCCAGCCAAAGACGCTCTCCAGGGAGCTCGCTCTGCCTAGCAGTGGCCTCTGGGTGCTGGTGCCTTGCTCAGCCACGTCGGAGGGCAGCAGCCGGGGCCCCGTGCTCGGGCACTCAGGGCAGGGCACGTTCCCAAGTCCCCGCACCCAGCTCCGGGAGATGCTCACAGCTGGGCCGGGGGAACCTGGGGGTGGGAGGCTGTCTTACGGGGGAGGCGGAACACTGGAAAGGTGGTAGAGGACCACACAGTGACCATGGAACAGGTACTTTGGAGACAGGGCTGAGTCCAGGGACAGGGGAGCAAGGGTGGGGACCTTCTGTGAAGGGGAAAAGTCTTGCTTAGCACAAACTTGAGTCTCTCCTCTTGCTTGCTTTCCCCTGTGGTCCTGCTGCCCCCTAGATTAGCCCTCTCATAATCTAACTCCAATGGGAAATCTACTATAAGCTGTTTTACATACAAGTACTCTATTCTTTTTCCTTTACTATAACATCTGATTATACTTATGAGTGTTTGAAAACAAAATTTCCTGCATCATGATTACCAGAGGGGAAGGGGGTGGGGGAGGTAACAGAGGGTAAAGGGGGAGTAAATGGTGATGGAAGGAGATTGAATTGGGGTGGTGAACACATAATACAATGTACGGATGATGTATCATAGAATCGTATGCCTGAAACCTATATACAATTATTAACCAATGTCATCCCGATAAATTCAATAAAAAAACAAACAAACAAAACACTTCTATTCACAATAACATCAAAAAGAACAGAATGCTCAGGAATAACTAACAAAGTTAGCGCAAGATTTATATACTGAAAAACATTTTAAAACAGTTTCTTTCTTTTAAAAGTATTTTCATTGAGTTTTTGAGAGAGACAGAAACATCCATGAGAGAGAAACATCGCTTGGCGCCCCCTACTGGGGATGGAGCCTGCAACCCAGGCATGTGCCCTGACTGGGAATCCAACCAGCGACCTCTTGGTGCGTGGGCCGACACTCAACTACTGAGCCATACCGGCCAGGCTCTACAATAAAAACTTTAAAAAAATTTCCTTTCCCATGCAATTAGGCATCTGTTTCCATTTTCTCTTCTCTCTGAATTCCCGATGCCTCGAGTCTGCGCAGCTGGGTGATGTCAGCGTCACTGGCCTGCGGCCTCCCAGCTCCGGTGCGCGTTGCAGCTTCTCCTGATCTTTCACTCTCGTGGGCTCAGGTACAGTGTGGTACTAATACCGGCTTGTGTCGTGCTCAGTGGAGAAGGGGACAGTGAAGAGATGTGTGGTCTCTCTGTATCCACCCCCTGCTACTCCATGGAAACAGTACGACCGAGTGCCCTCAGTGTCCCCCGATCTGTCTCTTGCTTCAACAGTGTTTGGATGGAATAGACCCAGGGACGCCCCCGCTTCCCACCTCCCAACCTCTTTTCCAAGCACCACCTTCGGATCCGCCTCTGCCTCCCAGACCGTCCAACACCGTGTTCTGACCTAACGCCTAACTGCGGAACAACCGTGAGCTCCCAGATTCGTCAGAACTATGCCACCGAGGTGGCGGCTGCAGTCAACCGCCTGGCCAGCCTGCCCGCAGCCTCCTGCACCCGCCTCTCTCTGGGCTTCTATTTCGACCGCCTGGCCAACCTGCCCGCAGCCTCCTGCACCCGCCTCTCTCTGGGCTTCTATTTCGACGTGGCGATGTGGCTTGGGGGGCCTGGGCCACTTCCTCCGGGAGCTGGCGGAGAAGCAGCGCGGGGCGCTGAGCATCTTAGAGCTGCAACACCAGCGCGGTGGCCGCGTCCTCTTCCGGGACGTGAAGCCTTCCCATGACCAACGGGGCGAAACTCAGGACGCCCCGGAAGCCGCTTTGGCCTTGGAGAAGGACCTGAACCAAGCCCCTTTGTTCTGCAGGCCCTGGCTTCTACCTGTGCAGACCCTCAGCTCTGTGACTTCCTGAGAACCACTTCCTGGAGGAGGAGGTGACACTCATCAAGAAGATGGGCAGCCACCCGACTCACCTGCGCAGGCTGGCTGGCCCCCAGGCTGGGCTGGGTGAGTATCTCTTCAAAAGGCTCACCCCCAAGCACGACTAGGAGCCTGTGGAGCCCAGAGGCCTCTGAGGGCCCTTCTGCATCCCCCGCGTATCGGGCTTTTGCCTGAGCCTCTCCCCGAAACCGCTGGCCATTCCTTTAACCACCCTGGAGCCCTCTCCCATGCCTTGGACCAATGGAAACAATAAAACTTTTTGCAGCAAAAAAAGAAAGAAAGAAAACAGTACACCAGGTTTCTAAGGAGACTGTTTTCTGATGCTCTGGTGGTAGCCGGTGATGGTCAGGGGAGAACACCATCACAGGGAAAGACACAGAAAAGACAGCAACTCAAGAGGGTGTGAAATAAGACTTCCTCTCCCTCAATGGGAACGAGAGAGAAGGAGAGATAGAGAGAGAGAGAGAGAGAGAGAGAGAGAGAGAGAGAGAACACCAGGGGACTGGGGTGGGAAGGAGGAAAGAAAGCTGATACTTGGGGTATGTTGATTTTCATGGGTGTTTACTCAATGCCAAGTGTGTGCCAAGTGCATTACCTATATTATCTCGTTCCCCACTGCAGTCCTCCGAGGGTGAGAAGCTGGGGACTTGCCCCCAGGTGACACCATTGGTGTCGCTTTCCCCGCAATGTGCTGGGACTAAGGAGACAGATGAATGGCCAAGGGACTGTCCGGTCAGCCTGAGCCAAGGCCACTGAATGAGTCACTGAGCAGGAGAAACTTTGGAGGGGCTCCTTGCGGACCCCCAGTGTCCCCACCTGGGAGCATCTAGCCTAGAGGCACGTGTGCTCAGCCTCACGCATCTGTCAGGGACACTGTCAGCTTGAGCGAACTGGCCTTCCGGTTCCAAGTCAGGGCTCCATAAACAATATTCCTCATTAGCCCTGGTAGCTCAGCACCTCTGGTGCCTCCAGCCCATTTTACTGCCACGCCTACACTTGTTGGATCCGGTTCTAAAGTAAACTATGCTCTTTGAGAGAGAGCTGCTGCATACAGATGAGTAGGCGGCCAGTCTGAGCTGACCCACACTCATAAAAACCAACGGGGCCTCGGGCACCCTCACCCAGGACACCCAATCTCTTGGATCAAGGACTCACTCCCATCAAGGATCCAGTTGCTTTCTTGGGGACCAAGACATTGAGTGTTTGTCTCAATATTCACTCTAGCAGTCCATGAGGTAAGGGGGAAAAGTGCCTCAATGCGTCTTTGTAGAAGAAAAGGAGGTAATGCTGGTGGAAATAGAGCCCTCTTTCCCCACCTCGAATCTAAGCAGAGTGTCCATCACTTCCCGGGGTTCAAAGTGTAGTTTTAATCGCTCACTTGGTGCTCTTGATGTTCAGGTCACGTATGGATGATGAGCTGTGGGCTTCATCCTGCCTTCCCTCGGCCATTTCACAGCGCTGAGCTGAAGGGCCATGAAAGGTTCTGGTCTCCTCGTGCCCGGTACCAGGCTCTGCTCTTCTGGGTGGTAGACAGGTGTGTAGAGCTTCTGTGTCTGATGGCATCTTCCAATGCTCCATTGCTGCAAGACCTTGTATAATAGCAGCACCTCTCTCCAGCCTTTTCCATCGTTAAGGTAGAAGATATAGATGCCAGTGAGGTCTAGCATGGAAAAGCCTTAAGACACACCTGGGTGAAAGGTGTTAGTAAGGCATTTAACTTACTGTCATCAAAATGCCTTTCCTTCATGTAATGTGGTGTTGCATGGTTCCCAGGGAGTGCATTCGGGTTTGTCAACATTGTTCAGCTCCCTGAATCCCTCTGTGCTCCTGAGCTCTGCTTTGTACGTCAAGAGGGAGCAGGCACGGAGCCCCCTTCTCCAAACATTGCTGTAGATTCTGGTACGGTCATTCCAAAGAAGTCTGTCTATTGCAATTGGCGAGCTCAAGGGGAAAATGTGAAGTTTTTTGTTTTCTTTTTTTCCCTTTAGTGGGGCATACAAAATGGAGTGAAACATAATGACTGTGATAAGGAGGCCGTGGTAGATGAGGAGTGAGCCAGCCTGGCAGTGGGGGCCCTTCAGTCATGAGCCCACTTGGATTGTCTTATGCTACCTTCTTCTGTGAAAATGCAGTCACACTAGGTCAACTCAGTTTTCCCAAGAAGGATGGGGTAGGGGGATCTGGGAAGGGATGAGCTATCAGCAGAGCTTTGATTTGGTGTATGAGTGTGTGTGTGTGGGGGGGGGGAGGGGGTTGAGGGAGTGCAGAGCTGAACTTGCAAAGAAGCACAGTGAGTGAATCTCTAGTGAATTGTTCTCGGAGCTTTTGTTGGTGGCATTTGGTTTCTCTCTAGTTTTTGAAAATATGTGATGCGCTGTGACTGGCAAGCATGCTCTGCTCTGCAGAGCTGAGACTCAGGGTTTCTCATGCACGTCCGTCTCCTTTTCTCAGCGATTCATTCTCCTTTGCTGCGTTGCAAGTCTACCCTGGACCTTTTCGCAGCTCGGTGGTTTCCCAAGGGTTCCGCTCTGGCTCCAGCGCTTTGCTTTGTCCCCGTCCTGTGGCCTCCGTGGGTCGCAGGGTTTCTAACTCCTCAGAGTTCTCTCGGGACTGCTCATGTGTCTCAGCAGCTTGATTCTGAGTTTGACCCAACTTTCACTCCTCCTGGTTTTACCATGTACGGTGCTAATGATGACTATTGTCTTTCTTCTTTCATTAGTGCCCTTCTCATTAATGCTCTTATTCTATATACAGGCCTTTTCCTTTTGACAAACTTACAATGTGCACCCACTGTGTTTGGGACCTGCGCTAGGTCCTGGGGGTTCTCCTGGAGCTTGGAGCTGAGGGGGTGTGTCCATGGAAACAGGCTCCGAGGCCATGATGAGCAGGACAGCAGGAGGCCTGCAATGCAGCCGTGATAGCATTGTGGACATCCGACGTGGCCCACAGAGCACCTCATGGAAGTGTGATCCTGAACTCTTGAAATAGGCAGGATGGGGTCTGGCAGGGGCAGGAGGAAGGGCATTTCAGAACAAGCAAAGGGCATTTACAAAAATACGAAGACACGAGAGTATGACGTACACAAGGAACGCCAAGCCGTCACGGCTAGGGGTGGGTGGCACGGGGAGGGGTGAGGAAAGATGGGACAAGAGGAGCTGCAGAGCGAGGCCACCTGATGAAGGACCTTGTGTGCAACGCTAAGGGGGTTGGGCAGTGTCTTGATGGTAGTGGGAAACCATGTAAGGTCCTATTTTTAAAAGGTTGTTTTGTGTGCAAATGACAAGGCAGACCATTGCTGGGGAAGCTGGGTAGGAGGTTGCCAAGACGCAGAACACACAGGATCTAGTGGCGGACTGGCTGCTGGGACAAAGTGTTCTCTGAAGGAAGAGCCCGAGAGCTGACTGATCTCATTCAGGAAACTTCTCCGAAGTCCAAGTGATGAACACATTTTGAACGGAAAAGAGTGTTTTCTTTACATTAACTCCCACCCCCATATCCACCAGGGCCTCTTGGCCACAGCGATGAGTTGATGGCCCCCAGATGTTACGGGAGCCGGGGCCTGTGTGGGGCAGCCGGCTGGCTTTCAGCTGCGGGGACTCGGGAGGAGCGTTTGCAGCACAGGGCGCATGCATCTCTGCCCCCTGAGTGCCCATGTCTCAGATGAGGCCGAGGGGCTCCGGTCTCGGTACCCACACGGGCAGAAAGTGGCAGAGCTGGGCGCAGACTTGCCTCTGTCGGACTCCCGTGCCCTCCACGCATCCCTCCTCCTTCCCCTCGGCAGGTGTGGGAAGACATCTTAAAATATGAAGTGAGGTCACGCAGTTCAGAATCTCTGGCGAGATCAGCACTTTGGGGTTTAATTCCTGACCGAGTCCAGACGGGCCGCGTGGGTGCCTGCAGCCCTCTGCACGGCCCAGGAGAAGGAGCCGGAATCCGCCGTGTGCGTCCCGCTCCTCACCACTCGCGCGTTTATTGGCACAAAAAGCAAACTTTGCCCAATAACTACCCGAGGAGAGGTGACTACAGTCACTTGTTTGAACGACTTCTGTTTGCCACCTTCTCTTTCCCCACTTCCGTTGGGCACTTTCGAAAGTGGGGGTGATGGTCAGCGTGAGAAGGGGGGGAGGGAAAGCCGAGGCCACCATCTGCACACGCTCTGGGGTCACGAAGACCAGTCCGATTTTACGGGTTGAGAAGAGAAAGTACAGGTGACCGAGTGTAGAGACGAAAAGGAGAAGGCCCGAGACTTGCCCAGGCTGCTGTCTCCTGGAATAGTCACGATTCACGAATGACGTCAGCTCTGCTCTAGAGGCAAGGGGTGGGCTTGATTATGTAGTTCATAATCTTCCCGAGAAAGCAGTGTGGAAGTTGGGAAAACAGAACAGAATGCAAACAAATACCTTCCACACACAGAAAAAGAAGGGAAAATTAGAGTGGAGATATATAAGAGAGAGAGATGCCTAGAAAAATAAGCCATAAACAAAATACAGCCTTAAAGTCAAAGGGGTAACTGGAGCTTGTTCCCTGCTCGGATGGGATGATCCTAAGCATCCTCACTGGGTTTATTACGGAGCGTGAATGCTGCCGTCCTGGCCATTGCCTGTGGGAATCCGTGAGCAAACACGGGGCGCGATGCCCAGACACATGAAGCTCCCTGGTTCTGTTTGAAGAAGAGGAGAGAGAAACCGAGAACAATGCAGACAACGGGCCACCTCGAGACTACTGGGAATCCAAAGATGCTACACCTCCGGCAGTTGCTTCCCAAAAACTCTTACAAAGGGCTCTAGCCCTGGCCGGTCTGGCTCAGTGGTTGGAGCGTCGGCCTGCGGACCAGAGAGTCCCGGGTTTGGTTCCTGCTAAGGGCATGTACCAAAAACAAAAACAAAAACAAAACCGCAAAGGGCTCTAGCTGTTAATATAAAACCCGATCCAGCATCAGCCCATTAAAAAACGGAAATTAGTTTTAAGCAATCATTCTAAGGGCTTATCAAATCCAGCTCAACCATTGCACAGGTGGAGAAACTGAGGCCCAGATGAGTGCAATGACTTGCTCAAAGTCCCCAGGAAAAATATAAACCTGAATTCACCCAGCGTCACTTAGAATCAATCATTTTCTCACTCAAAAAAGCCTGTTATTTTCCTAAATTCGTTCCCCAGTGTGCAACAGACTCTGTGTGTGTGTGTGTGTGTGTGTGTGTGTGTGTCTGCCCCATGCTGCATCCTGCAGTTATCAAGCCTTGTAAACTTTGCATTTACATTCCAGTTGGACTCATGTCACCCACCTCTGCTTCTAAAAGAAGATGCTTTTTGAATGCTCTGTGAAAGTACAAGCCTCAAACTTCCATTCTTTTACATTTTCCCAACGTCCTTGACCCTCCCTCTCTTCCAACTGCACAAACACCAATATTTCTTGGCTTGGATTCAGGAATTGTGTCTACCAGGGTGTATCAACATGCCACATGTCCCCAGGGAGCAGATTTAAATGTGCAACACAACACAGTTGAAAGCAACAGGTTAATACGGCCTCTGCAGTTAGAACAACCAACGCTCTCTCAGGTGACTGCCCCTAGGGGAAGACTCATGCTTCGCTGCCCTTGATTAAATTCTTGGGAGCTTTCTGGCTCTATCCAGACCTGCCATTTGTCCTTGAAGAGTTCGACAGAACTGGGAAACTAGGAGTAACTGTTGTTAGCTCCTTACAGGAAAAGACTCCCTGAAACTTGGCCCCTGGGAGGCCGAGCCCAGTGATTCCCGTCCTGTGCTAGCAGGTGCATTGGGCCACCGCAGGGCCCCGTGCTCCGATGCTGCAGTAAGGTGGGCCGCTGATGAATATGCAGCGTACAGAGGGCTCGACCGGGATTCAGAGATAAATCACAGGGATGGTCAGGGGGTCACTTAGAAAGCCTGCAGGGAAGACCAGGCTGTGCTCAAGTGTGAAGACACAGTTTCCACCCCACAGAAGTTTCCATCTCACTGAGAGGACAGGCTTGGGTGACAGGTACATCCTACCTGATGGGTGTCTCTGACCCAGCCTGCTTCTCGGGAGCCCCCGTGGGACAGGGTGGCTGAGGAGAGAAGGCCCCCCAACCACTCCTTCCCTTTAGCTGGACAGGACAAGGGGCTCTGAGAGAGCGAAGGCTTACCTTGGACCAGGTCTGCGGACCTTTGTCCAGACGCCCTGCGTGAGCGCCCCAGGTCTCCCTCCGCAGCCAGGCGGACGCTCGCCACCACCCAG